CTATAATACATAAAAAAAAAGAAATCAAAGAAGATTCAGCATTTTTGGGTATAAAACTCCAAAAAAAATCTTTTTACAGATTCCCTTAAGAGCGCCATTTGACGTATATCTTTGTCTATGTAAAAAGTTAATTTATGTAAATTTAGTTATTATTTTTTTGTAATTAGCTTTGTAATTACTATTACTATTTTTTTGTGAGTTACTGATAGATCATGGACAGTGATTTTTGCAATTGCACTTTTTTTATTCTTTATAATTGAACGATGTGATCAAAGGAGACACAGATATAGAAGGAAATAAAATAACATCACAAGAGTGTATCCGGGAATTGCTGACGCAGGAGATATTTCAAAACAAATTGAAACGCTTAAAGTAGTTTGGTTTTTAGATGTTTTAAAATTAGGTATAAAAGCAGCTCTTCAGATTCGTTTACATGCATCCAGGAGTAGCGAATGAACCCCCAACAGGCACCAATGGGTCGTACCTTGGAATAAGGAAGCATTTGTACCCTTTAAACTCTTGTGATTCTAATTTTATTAGGATTTTATTAAGATCTTTTTGATTTCACATCTATTGCACTGTAAGAAAAGTATTGTGGCATCATAAGGTGTTTTTTCCAAGCGCAAATCATCACCTAAGGTTTTTCATATTAGTTTATTTCGAAATGTCTTTTCTTCATACTGCTGAATTATATTATTATACTCATCGCCAAGACTTTTGTTTTTCATTAAACGTTTTTTTTTTTGTTCATCAGTAGATTTAACGCCATTGTTTAGTTATTATCCAACAGCCTATTTTTTAGCCGAGCGACTGGTTCATTAGATCCCCCTTAAACTTCCTTAATTGCGCATTTAAGCATAATTCACACCACTTAGAATATCAAATTTTATTTATTGTCCATTATTTAGGAATTCTATGTTTCTTAGATGTCTCCGCCTTTTTGATATTTTTACCTAATTAACTGATTTAAAGTTTCCATTTACATTATTTACTGCAAAAGTTTGCATTTTAATTGTCGTTTCTTATTCAATGACTCTAGCTGGAATTCCACTGACATTTTCTATTTTTTTCAGTTTTTCTATTTATCTTATTTACAATCACTTTTTCTGTTTTACTTTGCAGAGACAACTCAGCAGCTACATCAGAACTCAAATACGACTTTAAACTTTTTTTGTCAAAGACTTTTTTTTTGCGTTGACCACGACTTTTTTATTTCCATTACAAAAAATTACAGGCATGTTTGAGGAGATATACAAATTATAACGTATTCTGAATGTAATCGGATACTCAAGGTATGAGAGTTTTCTATAACTTTGTCTTTTTTTCTTGGATTCTTCAGAAATTCTTTAAACTAGACACTTTTTGTGAAGCAAATTCTTGACTTTCTGCATTTTTTTTTTGTCACCAAGTTCATTAGTTCTGTTTGCTTCTTTCAAGTTTGTTACAACCATATCAAACGTGTCAGCAAACTTTTTAACATTTTTTGATTGATTTTCTCTTAGGTTTGAAGTTGTTTAAATTATCCTAGTACATGAGGACTTATCCCCTTGTTCCGCCATATTTTTTTTTAAGTTTTTCTTTAGCAGCTTTTTTAGCAAATAACTAGTGTTCAAGTCCTTTAATTGTTTTTAATGCACCACCACATAAATATTCACTCAACTGAAGTAATTTATATTCAGCGGTCGCCGAAGCTTGGTCAATACATGCATTGAATAAAGCTTTCCAGTTTTTGTAACACTTTTTATCGTCGTTAAACATTAGTAAGGAGACGCGTTTAATTGTGGGTTCATCGTCTTCGGAAAGCTGAATAATTTGATGTTTACTTTGCGAAAACATAAACTTTAAATCCATTATCTTCCTGTTTAATGTTGAGTTTAATTATCTTCCTTTTACAAATTAGACTTGATTTCATCTTTCTACCATTTTTCCGTGGCAAAGAAACTACCCTCTGCTACCAGATGGCAATCAAAAACAATACCAATTGGGTAATAATACTTTATTTAAAAATCTTCTTAAACAGTTTACATGAAACTTAACAGTTAACTTTGAATTTTAAGTCAACATAAATAAGCAAGCAGACACAGAAAACTTTTTGGCACCGAAAAACTTATGATACCTTTTTATAGAAAAATTTTACACTTACTCAGAGAAAAAAGATTTTCATAATCTTACAAAAAATTTAGCACGTAGAAGATAGCATACCAATGTTATACCTCAACAACTAAATGATAGCATACTTATGTTATCATTTAGTTGTTGAATGAATACCATACTGGTTAAGTCATATGCAAAAATATTCAGAAAAAAATTGACAAGGGCTACAGATTTGTATGTTTAATGAAGAAAAAATGAGCCAAAATTATACAGCTATTTCTCTTTTAAATAAAGCTTTTATTGGCGATACTATTTACTGTCTAAATAACTGTCTTACTCGCGGCGTAGAATGTTAAAAATTATTTCAGAAAAAACGGTTAAGGAAATAAAGAAACGTTTTCCAGCAAACGCTGACTAGAACCTCTTAACAAATGGTGGTGATAAATGTTTATAAACTCCAAGTGGTAAATATGGTTAAAAATAATGACAGCAATGCTATGACAAGGATAGTAATAACATTAGAAGAAAAAAAAAATAGCCTTATACCATTGAAGGTAGAGTAAAATGTGAAGTGGCAAGAGTTGATGGTGAAAAAATTACAAGTCAAAATGTTTAAAAATTTATTTAAAGTGGTTGTAAAACTGATGCCATATTCAAAGTGGATAGTTTTGCTTCAGTCGCATGGGGATATCTATTCCCGCATACGCTTCAGTTATTGTTGTAGAGAAAACATCTCATGTAGATAACTTTTAAGACACTTTTTAGTTTTAATTTTTTAGTTGGAATTAAAAAAATTAGTTAATGATATTGATTGTGTTGTTTTTATGATCTCACGTTGGTTTTCCCCTTCAGCTTTTATTTGTTCACCCTTAAGAAGCTCATCACAAATTTTTAATTGGTTTACTTATTTTAATGCATCTTGTTAAATTATAAAATCTTCTACTACTACTACTACTACTACTACTACTACTACTACTACTACTACTACTACTACTATATATATATATATATATATATATATATATATATATATATATATATATATATATATATATATCATTATTAGTGTAATGCTCACAAGTTTTGTCTGTTATCTTGTGATAATTGCTCTGGTGTTATTTCAATTTCTTCTGGTTTCACTTTGTGAAAATCAATTTGTATTTTATCTTTTATATTTTCAGCTATCTTTAAGTTTATTGGTTTGAGCCGTCCATTTGTTCGTGGATCAATTTTTGTTACATAAAGAATATATTCTAGAGTGTTAGCTTCACCTATAACTTTTACAAAACGCCTTCAAAGAAGATATATATTGTTATTCTTCAAACTTTTTCTTAGCTATTAAAAATATCCCTGTTCTCATTTGTAAACCTTATTAATTCTTTTCCTTTTGCTTCTTTAATTTTAAGGCTGGTTTTCTTACATATGCTTGTATACACTGTATACAACTATACGTTCTCTTATATGTGCTTATATACATTGCTTGTATAACTCTTGTCTTAAATCTTTTTTCAGGACAATGGTGCTAACACCTTTCTTTCTGTTTTCTCCACCCGCTTCAAGGACGGAATAAATTTTTGGCCGTAGACCTACAAATTCTGAAATGAATCGGCCTTTGCACTGGTCTTTTATTCTACCTTTTTTTTTACTCTTGGTGAAACACCAGTGAACCTTAAGACACTACTTCTACTAGACTAAAAACATTTTTTTTTCATTAAATTAAAATTAATGCTCGCTTTTTTTTTTCATTTCTTCGCAAATATAAGAACAGTGACATTAAAGAGCGATAGTTTTCTTTTATAAAAAAAATTTGATATATTTGCTCTTGGAAGCTGAATAACATTTATATTTTCCATATCAAAAAATAAAACAACTTTTCTGGATTCTCTATTACTCTTCTTTTATTGATAGGAATATGTCTTTAAAAAAATATGACGCTGAAATTGTATTTTAAACTCTAAGCTGTTAATTGCTTTTTCCATATTCATTTTATTTTCTTTACAGCAGTCAGATTGGTCTGATTTTGGTCTTGATCAAATCTATATCAAATTCAGTATTTAACACTTCTCTTATGTTGCTTAACAAATTCATTTCCTTTTTTTCACAATGTTCAGTAGGGGAGACAGGGGCTAGTTTACTCGGTTTTTACTCTATGAACTCTGTAGCCCTAGAAGCACATTTTTTTTGGAAATATTAAAGTGTAGTCTCAAAGAGTTCGGGTAACATATAAAAGTTTCATTCATTTAAAAAAAAAATCTTTTTTTTTTAAATGAATGGGTAAGTCGGCACTAACTATAAAAATGATTATTAACGTACTATTAAGTGCAAAACTTATAGAAATTTCTATATTATTTATTTTGCAACAATTTTAATCCAAAAATTTAATATTAGTCTTAACTGGTACCAAACATTAGTTCACTTTTAATGAGTTAAAAAAAACTTTTTTTTTAATTTTTTTGTAAAAATTGTATTGTTTCAGGCTCTGAAGATAAACGCAGTTCGTCAACTTACCCCTGCTGCCAACTAGTCCCGGTCTCCCCTATATAAGTCGCACATTAATGACAAATTCAACTTATTTTCAAGATATTCTTTTTTGTTAGTGCTCCGACAATAACGAGATTCAATACGTGGAAACAAATTTATGTGAGTATGAACATCGTCCAACAATGTTTGTGACAATATGTACTTTATGGGCTTTCCTTTTTTTCTTTTTAACTGGAAAACCTGTATGTAGATCTAATAAAATGTTGTGAGATTAATGTACTCTTGCTTGAGAAATGCATAAAATTCCTATAAAAAAGTTTTTACAAACTCTGTGAATAATGCTGTCATTTTCCAAAGAGTATTGATAAAAAAACTTTCTTATCAATATTTTTAAGTTAAATATTAATAAGAAAAAAAACTACATCTGAAACAGTTCTAAATCTTACTTTTTCATTTCTTTATATAAATTTAGTATAAAAAACATTTTTGCTATTGTCAAAAATGTTTGAATATAAGTTTCATTTTTTCCGAGTTAATTTTTGATTCACAAGAAAAAATGCACTTTAAGCAATTATTTCCAACAGATTTACTTTCTTCAACTTTTATCCTTCTTGAATTCATATCGTATTGTCCAGATTCTCTTTTTTTCTGTGTAATTCCTTTTCCAAATATAAATATTTCTTCTCCGGTTTCGAGTTTTCTGTACTTGTCCTTCACTAAAAAGATTATTAAATTTAAAAGTTACTTGTCCTTCGCTAAAAAGATCAGTAATTTAATTTACATTATCAGATCTTCAACAACAACAGCAACAAAAGCACTTGAATAATGCTTAATAAGATTATATTAAATTTTACAAAATTATTAAATTTTAAACAAATTTTTTATTAATTATTTAAAGATAAATTCTCTAAACCTCATTTTGTTAAATAAATAAACAAAATAATCACAGTGTGACTTACGTTATAGAATTACAAGACATTTAGTGCAGTTTTGCAGTCTGCTATCTTGAAATTGTCATTCATTCATATTCATATTATATTATTTATATTTATATTATAATATAATAAGGAACTTGTCAATGCTCATTCGTGAGTGATTGACAAAATACTCACAGCAGTCATTGCAACCGAGGTAATAGCGACTAAGGGCAGCAGCACTTTTTTTTATAAAAAAAGTCAACGAAATTGTATGCAAATATCTAACTTACTTCAAATTATGTAATGTTAAAGCATACTAAAACATATATCAAGTTTTACAGTTTTCCTTTCACTTGAAAACTGCATTGCGGTAACATCTCCTTAACTTTGATCGATAGCCGTTTCATAAAATCTTTTGTTTAATATATATTTTTTAAATTTTTGTCAAACAATATGCTGAGGCGGCCGAGTGGGTTAGGACGCACGAAAAAGTCGTGGTTCAAATCCAACTGGCGTCTTTTTTTTTATAAAAAACACTTTTGAAGATTTATAGAGATTATATACTAAACGTAATGAAAGATATTTCACACTTTAAGAAACGAACAGAAGAAAAATTTTTAAAAAGTCTTAAAGTTCTAAAAAGGTCAAAAAACCAGAAGAAATTTGTTGCGCGTGTGTCATGATAGAAATACTCAAGTTATTAATGTGCTCAGGTAATTAGTCCTAATAAGCTGTGGATGGTCTGAAATTTAAAAAATTATCATCTAAAACTTAATAAGAAAAAAAAAAAAACTTTAGAAAAAGTTTAATAAGACAGTCACGCTATTTCAGAAGGTGCTGCTGTGGAGGCAAAAAAAAAGAAAATTCTTAGCTAGAAAAAATTTTAAAATTATATTTTAACGATTAAAAGTCCTTTTTTCGACATTTATTTTTTTTTTGCTATAAATATATACGGGCAGACTGAAAAAAATGAAAATATATTGTGTTAAGAAGCGGATTTAAACCGTCCTAAAACCACACAGATGACCACGCATTAAACCACTTATCTATCAAATTATGGATGTAATTGAAAAACAAACCGTTTTATCAACTCTGATTCCGATTGCAACTAATCAACACTTTTAAAGCTTATAATTGGGTTAGGACGCACGAAAAAGCCGTGGTTCGAATCCAACTGGCGTCTTTTTTTTTTTAAAAAATCCATTTTTCTAAAATACAAAATAAAACACTTTTGAAGATTTATAGAGATTATATACATAACATATGTAAAGATATTTTACACTTTAAGAAACGAACGGAAGAAAAATTTTAAAAAAAGCTTAAAGTTCAAAAAACATAAAAAAACAAGGAGAAATTTGTTGCGCGTGTGTCATGATAGAAATACTCAAATTATTAATGTGCTCAGGTAATTAGTCCTAATAAGCTGCGGATGGTCTGAAATTTGAAAAATTATTATATAAAACTTAATAAAAAAAAAAAAAAAAATTAAAAGTTTAATAAGACAGTCCCGCTTATATATATATATATATATATATATATATATATATATATATATATATATATATATATATATATATATATATATATATATATATATATATATATATATATATATATATATATATATATATATATATATATATATATATATATATATATATATATATATATATATATATATATATATATATATATATATATATATATATATATATATATTATATGAGAAAACTTTTTTTTTTAACAAATCTTTTGTGCTGTATATATATTTTTTGCTACAAATATGTAGAGAAGATTAAAAAAAGTTTTATAATTTATTACGCTAGGGGGAGGTCTTGAAATCCCGAAACGATACTGATGACAACGCGCCAAACTCCCTGAGAAAAGATCGGTGTGGAGTAGACTTACAAAGACCCGTATTTTTACTGGTCCAGCCAGCTAGTTAAATTATAAAAAGCAAGCTGCCTGATTGCATTTTATTGGCTAGAATCTGGTAGAAAAAATAATCATTAAACAATTTTTCTTATTTGGAGATGAACGTAACTTGCTTTTTATAACACTTTATTTGATTAGTCGTTTCGGAGTTAAAACAATTTAGCATAATAAAACAAGATTAAAATGTGGAGATAGAACAAAGTAAATTTAAATTGACACGTACCAGGCAAATTATTACACAAATCAACAATTAAAATATAAAGATATTGATGCTTTATTGAATGCTTTAGTATTATTTTGATTTTTTTACAAAATTGGAGCTAGAACAAGTAAGCACTCAGGTCGTGACTTGCATTCGGAAAAGATATTTGCTTTCGCAAGTAGGCTTTCCAAGTCTAAAGGTGAGTTTCCTCTCCTCCTTTTTTTCACGGGAACGGAAAAGGAAAGGGAAAAATATTCACGTGGGCATGCTTAGTATAAGCTTTAATTTCTCCGAAGAAAAATTACGCATGCTCACGCGGTTTTTTTTTCCTTCCCTACCCCGTTCCCGAAAAAAAAACAGATGAGCGAAACTCACATTAACTTGAAATACGCCAGTTTTCAAGTATAGCTTGAGTTCAAGTTTGCTCTTTGCATTTGCTCAAGTCAAATTTCAGATTAGAAGAATGACTTCAATTTTCAAGTTCGCTTCTTGCATTCCACCCTAATGTCTTTCATAATAAATCTGTTAATTGTCAGGTAAAAGCTAGACATAAGTTACTAAATAGGATTGTAATTGTAGTTTCAAAAGAAAATGGAAAATGCTTTGATGAAAGCTTGAGTGATGTTATTTGAAAATGATGATTTAAGAATATATATGTTCGTAGAAGGTCTTTAGAACTATTATTGAAATGAGTAAAATATGTTAGAAGTTTTAAAGCGTAAATAATGGACGGTTTATAAATGAAGCTATTAAGTTACAAGATGCATTAGGTATATTAAAGCAAAGCATAAATCTATCAGCAAAAGCAAATTATGGCGGCAGTAGCTAAGAGGAATTAAAAAAGATTTTTCAGAAAAGAAGCTGAAGTAAAACTAATCTACAAATAGATTTGTTTATTTTTTTAAAATTTTCGCCGTTTGTTTAAAGTATATTGGAGCAGATTATTATCTTTTTTTTTTTTTTTCACTTTTTTATCAACAAATAAGATCTGCGCTGTAAAACCAGAATCTAATATGCCAAAGCCAAATAGTTTGGAAACATAATTTTTATAACTAAACTATGCTACAGCTTTGCGATAAAAATTTTGAAATTTTAGTTTCTGATTATCGCTTTAACTTTTTTGAGGCATTTCATTTTGATCTCATGTAAATTGTACAAATAGTTAAAATATTTGTCGTCATTAATGAAAATAAAATTAGTCATTTAGTTTATAAATTCGAAAGTTAAAGATTAAGTTATAAACAAACAAGAAAACTCTGTAATACGTAACATTGTTATTTACGTAGTTAGAGTATGTTACCGAACTGTAATCCTAGACAAAAATTAATACCGTATTAAATTAGGTATGCCATAAATAAAAGATTTACAACTTTTGCGGACATTTAGACGCCACCTTACTTGACAGTCTGAAAGCTTGCATCAACCAATAGTTTGTCAATGAATGGGTGTGTTTATTGTTTAAGTTAGGATTTAAAATTGAGTATTGTAAACATTCACTCTTCTTCAAGATTTCATCTATTGCATTTGATATCTAAAGAAAGTTGAATTAAACAAGTATGTTCGTTTTTTAATAATAAAAGATTTAACTACAAATAGTTGTTTGTTTCTAATAAACATATAGTGGAATATTATAAACATTGTATTACAGTAATTGGCGTGGCTAGCATTTTTTGGTGCTTGAGCTAACTTCCGGATATAGAGCAAACTCCAAACATTTATATGTTTATACTTATGTCAAATAAAGATGCAAAAATTATGACCGTATAAAATTTAAATCCCCTCAATTTGAAGGGGTTAAAAATTTTAAATGGTCATAATTTTTGAGCGATGAAAGATTATACAATGAAACTTAAAATTTAACGTTAAATATAAGCCTAGTTGAGAAAAGTACAAAAAATATTTTATCAAATTGTTGCTCTCGAGTTTGGGACAGGTCATTCACAAACTTTAGGTCATTGTTAAACAAGGTCGCTGCAAAAAATAAACTACCCAAGCGCAGTACTCCCAGATGTGTAAGGTGAATTTGAACCTCGAATCTCTTTATTATGAACTGAGCATTCTACCAATAGTCTGTGAATGACCAAAACTGATAACATTATTTTTTTAAATATAAACTTATTTTAAATTGAAGTATCCGAATATATTAGTAACGCATAGCGGTTTCTTGATGACAAGATCATCGGTCTTCTGCAAGTTTCCCGCGTTATTTGAAATAACTTCTTATACTTTACAGCTTTATTTTAAATATTTTTGTATAACGTAACTTTGTGATTCTTTTTTTAATTTTACTTACTTTGTAAAGATTCTATTATGTATTACGAATTTGTAAAGATAAAAGAACAAAAAAATAAAAAAAAAAAACAATTAAGCACTCAGGTCGCGACTTGCATTCGGAAAAGATATTTGCTTTCGCAAGAAGGCTTTCCAAGTCTAAAGGTGAGTTTCCTCTCCTCCTTTTTTTCACGGGAATGGAAAAGGGAAGGGAAAAATAACTACATGGGCATGCTCAGTATAAGCTTTAATTTTTTCGAAGAAAAACTACGCATGCTCACTTAATTTTTTTTTCCTTCCCTACCCCGTTCCCGAAAAAAAACAGATGAGTGAAACTCACATTAACTTGAAATACGCCAGTTTTCAAGTATAGCTTGAGTTCAAGTTTGCTCTTTGCATTTCCTCAAGTCAAATTTCAGATTAGAAGAATGACTTCATTTTTCAAGTTGGCTTCTTGCATTCCACCATAATGTCTTTCATAGTAAATCTGTTAACTGTCAGGTATCTGTTGATGGTTCCTGGAAAAAGCATAGACATAAGTTACTGAATAGGATTGTTATTGTAATTTCAAAAGAAAATGGAAAATTTGATTAAAGCTTGAATGATGTTATTTGGAAATGATGATTTAAGAATATATATGTTCGTAGAAGGTCTTTTGAACTATCATTGAAATGAGTAAAATATGTTAGAAGTTTTTAAGCGTAAATAATGGACGGTTTATAAATGAAGCTATTAAGTTACAAGATGCGTTAGGTATATTTAAAGCAAAGCATAAATCTATCAGCAAAAGCAAATTATGGCGGCAGTAACTAAGAGGGAATTAAAAAAGATTTTTCAGATAAAGAAGCTGAAGTAAAACTAATCTACAAATAGATTTGCTTATTTTTTTTTTAATTTTTGCAGTTTGTTTAAAAAATATTGCAGCAGAATAATTGTTTTTGTTTTTTTTTTAAAAGTTTTTTTTTTTTCATCACCCAAAAAGACCTGCCCAGTAAAACGAGAATCTAGAATGGCAATGCCTAATAGTTTGGAAATATAATAATTTTTATAACTAAGCTATGCCATAGCTTTGTGATAAAAATGTTGAAATTTTAATTCCTGACTATAGTTATAACTTCTTTGAAGCATTTCAATTTGATCTTCTATAAATTGTACAAATAATTTGAATTTTTTCGTCATTAATGCAAATAAAATTAGCCATTTAGTTTATAAATTTGAAAGTTAAAGAGTATATTATAAACAAACAAGAAAACTCTGTAATATATAACATTGTTATTTACGTAGTTAGAGCATGTTACCGAACTGTAATCCTATACAAAAATTAATACCGTATTAAATTAGGTATGCCATAAATAAAAGATTTACGACTTTTGCGGACATTTAGACGCCACGTTATTCGAAAGTCCGAAAGCTTGCATCAACCAATAGTTTGTCAATGAATGGTTGTGTTTATTGTTTAAGTTAGGATTTAAAATTTAGTATTGTAAACATTCACTCATCTTTAAGATTTCATCTATTGCATTTGATATCTAAAGAAAGTCGAATTAAACAAGTATGTTCGTTTTTAAATATTAAAAGATATAACTACAAATAGTTGTTTGTTTCCAATAAACATATAACGAAGTATTATAAACATTATATTATCGTCATTGGCGTGGCTAGAATTTTTTGGTGCTTGAGAAAGCAAACTTCTGGCATGGAGCAAACTCCAAACATTTATATGTTTATACTTATGTCAAATAAGGCAATCTATTTTTTTTCGTTATTGAATGAAAGAATAATTTTTGCCCCATGCCAAACCCTAAATCAATCTAAATAAATTATTTTAGGTCGCTTCACTGCATATTTACTCACAATTTAACATCTTTAAATAATTGATAATTTATAAATGTTTAAAATTTGTAATGTTAAATTGTGCAATTAAGTACACACATACTCAACCCACACACCACCCCATCCCCCACACCTACACACACCAACAAACACATACACACATATATATAAACGTACCTAATATGTATATATATATATATATATATATATATATATATATATATATATATATATATATATATATATATATATATTAAATATGTGACATGAAATTTTTAAATCGATTAAACACGTGATTGTTGATCGCTGGAAAATGATCAAAATTGAACAATTCAACAAAAAGTTACTTTTTGGTACCGAATTTTTGATATATGGATTTCTTGAAGAAACTGTGATCAAATTTTAATTTTTTTTAACTTAAAACGTGAAAACTTGGCCAATTCTAATCAAAATGCATACATCTTAGTATCAAAAGAAAGGTCTAACAAAGAGCAATATATAAATAGAAAGGGTGTATAAAGGGCGCTAGAGGGGCGTCTACAAAACTCTTTATTACATTGAAAAATAAAGATTTTTGAAAAGAAAATATTATTATTTAATTGAAATTTATAATTTTTATTTGTACTTTATAATATATTCTGACAGGGTACCATCAAATATGATTTGGACACTTTAGGTTGATTAAATAGAAGTCCTTTTGGATTTTGGACACACCCTCTATAGCGCCAGCTATCAAATATCAAGTTTATTACTTTGTATCTTCATGCATTACTTCAAGATGCGCAAGAGGATAATAGTTGGAAGCTCTCCACCCCTTAGATCTCTGGTAGGGCTTATATTAAAAAAAAAAAAAAAAAAATTAAATTAGTGTTTGAAAAATGAAAATGAAAAAAAAAAGTTAAAACGCAGTAAAAGACTTACCGAAAATGTCTTAGTTTGCATTTTGAGCGTCAGATGGCAGTGATGACGTCGATGAAGCTGGTAAATTTAATTTTTTCAATTTTTAATTTGAAATAAGTAAAATTATGAAAAATAGTGTCAACCTATTTATAATTTTTTCTTTAAACAAACATAGAAAAAAAAAATAATAAAATACCGGTCTGCAGTAAATGCTCTTCAAAATAAATAATTTACAATGATAAATTGTAAATTGAGCTAAATGAATAAAAAGTCTATTTTCGTTCAATTTACAATTTATCATGTTAATACTAACGCAGCATTTTTTGCAACAATAAAAAATCCTACCAAGAATTTTCTTTCTTTTAGCTAAAAAAAAAGTTTTTGAATTTATTTTCATTTTGTAAAAAAACATTAAAAAAAACAAATTTACAACTTAACTAGGATATATCAACCAATTTCCTCCCTTTTGCGAGCTAAAAAAATACATTTTAATGAAACATTCGCAATATTAGTGAAGTCAAATCATATAAGGATAGAAATAAAATAAAACAAAAACAAGTAAAACAAACATCGGAAAAAAATTAGAACAACCGCACTAAATTAACAATACTCAATAATTACATAATCTAATAATCGGTTTCTGGACACAGTGTCACAAAATGGTCATCAACCTTAACCTCATGTCCCGAGAAAACCCTTTGGTGGGATGATAGCCCACATATAGTAGATCACTTAGATATAAATTTGGAAATCGAACTATGACGTCCGAGAGAGATATTTTAGTTTTTATTTTCTTCAATTCTGGCATATCAAAATTTAAACGAGATGATAGGAATTTGGCATTTTTACAGTATTTATAGAGCAAAAAGTTAATTTTCCCATATATTTCTATAAGACATATAAACAAAAACATATTTTACAATAAAATTGATCCTTTTTATTCTAAAATGAATGTTTGCTGTTGAAATCAATCACACAATTCAGAAGCTTTGATTCATATTCTGGATGGTTTCTTGCCTGTTTGTAACGCTGCCAATGGGAACTGAAGTTGTGATGAAGAGATTCTGTAGCTTGCTCTGAGAAAATGTCAAGACTAGAATTGTGTCTAAGGATGAAATCCTTCAGGTGAAAAACACCGCATGTGCTTTGGGAGTGACTGAAGTATTTGGCAACTTCAGGTACGACTCCTGAAACTGTAAAATTTTTTGTTTAAAATCGGGGCTCAAGTGATTTCCAAAGCAAGCATTCACCACTGAGTCAAAATGTCTCAATGTTTCAACAAATGGCACAGCAAGAAAAAATGAGCTTTGCTCAGCTAAACTTTGAAGACGATCAGTGTTTTTCAAAAGCTTGCGGCAGTCATTCCCTGCAAATTGGCCACCATGAAAAGACTGCTCTTGAATATGAAGGGCTGCTGGCCATTCCTTTGCTGCGGGCCAAATCTGGCATAAACTTTTGTAGAGATGGTTAACGACTCCAAGAAACAGATGAAGTTTCATGGGAGGAATGATGTCCAAAATCAGTGTGTCATCTGGCAGAGTCATTATGGGTTCATGGATTACGTTTTTGAAGTCTTTTGCTCTCCTTGCATTGGCACCACTGCTTTGAAACTGCAGAAAGTTTTCTCGAATTGAACCAAGTGTTCTGAGGCTTCCAGAGCGACTCAAATCTTCTGATTCTGCATCACACCATGAACAAGGATGTGCACTTGCATGGGACTGAAGACCACAAACAAGATTGGCGACTTTCATGTCACAAGAGATTATGTAGGAAAGTTTGTGAAGTTGAAGAGAAGAAATTATGCTTTTCAAGTTGTCATAACTCTCTGGCAGATCTTCTGAAATTGCCACCAGAAGTTGCCGTTTGACTCCTGTGTCTTTAAGCCCTCGTTTTGGTGGTGGAAAATTTGAATCTGTGTTTCTGGCAATGATTCCAAGAGATACTTTCAAAAACCCACCACCTCCATCAATACCAATCTTCATCAGCGGATCTCCTGAAACATTCCTTACTTTGATAACGTGATTTGCAAGACTTCCTACATCTGGGCAAAAAACAAGCAGTCGTGAAGGGTGCTGGTCATCATTCTTTGTAGAATATCGTATGGCCTTGGTCTCAAAATGCTCAGAAAGAGATTTCCCGAAACTGTCGAATTTTTCTACAATCCGGAGAGGTGTAGCTTGGTTCAAAGATTATGCCAATTTGGACATGCCACGATTTGACAATCTAGTTCCAATTTGGACTCCAACCATGTCTTGTGCCGTGAGCTTGGGCAAAGCAGGAAACAATTCTCTTGCACTTGATGGTCCTAAAGAACATTTAATAACCGAGGTTAAAATTTTCTACATTTACATTTTAAAAGAAATTTATAAGTGATTTATGCTTAAATCTATATTGCTTTACCTGGAACAATGGGAAAGCGATTTCCTCCAAGTGGTTGACTTAGCCGAACAGTGCCATGAGGTGATGGAGTTTTATTAGCAATTGTTAATGATGCTACCCTCTCTGCCGCAATGCGATCCCTCGAAGCAACTTCCACTAAATTTTGCCTTAATGTTCCTGTTGTGCAATTGTGAGGCAATCCACGACCAATCACAGAGAAGCAATCAGAGCACCTTTTTTCAATGCTTGAATTTTCTTTGGGTTTCGGTGGTTCCAAAGGATGACGCTGATTCATAGTTGTCCTTGCAGTTTGACAAATCAAACAACTACAAGGAATATTTGTTGCAGCACGCTGAACTGAGATGGTGCTGAAATCAAAGAGCCTTGGGATAGGTGCATCCTCCCCTTCTTCTCGTCTGCGAATAGCCACACGACATCTTTCACAAATTCCACAAGGGATTTGAAAGTTTGAAAAATCAAGCTCAATTTTGAGGACTATGCGAATTTTCTCCACTAAAAAACTTGTGATTTCTCGATCTGCCTTCTTCAAACATAGGAAACAAACACATTTTCGGTTTTCTTCATGAGTTTTAGCTTTGTTAGGCATTTTATCAAACTTTCGATGTGTCTTATTTGAAAAAAACTGAATGTGCACCCTTTTCCCGGAATTAGCAAAATTGAAAAACAAACAAAAAATAATAATGATTTCAAAAAACCTGCTCCAATTAGTTATATAATGTCTTAAATAGTACTCTAAGCAACGTAACAACAAAAATGCTGTAAAAATGCCAAATTCCTATCATCTCATTTAAATTTTGATATGCCAGAATTGAAGAAAATAAAAACTAAAAGATCTCTCTCTGGGGTCATAGTTCGATTTCCAAATTTATATCTAAGTGATCTACTATATGTGGGCTATCATCCCACCAAAGGGTTTTCTCGGGACATGAGGTTAAGGTTGATGACCATTTCGTGACTCTATGTGGAGTATAATAAAATCACAAAATAAAACCGATATTGAAAGCTGGTACGTAATTTTATCATTCATTTTTATTACTACTAAAAAACAAAAAATTTCACTAATTTATTTTTCATAACATTAAAACTTTTCATAACATAAACACACAGCAATACTAGCTTCAAATATAGCTACTTTAATAAAGAAGACAGAAAGAACACATGTATATTGCTGTTTATATTGTCAGGGTGTAAACTAGCCCTGCGGGGTCCCGTCAAACGCGGTATTCCCAAACGCTCATAAAATTAAAATTCCCAATTTAAAAGTAAAAAAATGCCATTCTCCAAATAAAGTTTTTTAAATCATAAATTGAAGTTTATTGATATTTCTAAAACTTATGAAATTATGAAAATTAATTATTATTAAATACTAATAGAAAAATAAAATTACAAATTCTAATTTATTAATTGTGTAAAGCTCGCCGTTGTTGGTTCAACTACGCGATTGTAAAAAAAAATATCTTTTGGGAGGCATATTTTGAAACCATATACAGGCTCAGAATAGGCAAAAAAATTGAGCAATCTGATTCGCTGATTTTGAAAGAGAGGCAAGTGCGCGTTGTTGAAAAATATAATTCAAATCATATTTTCAAAATAAATAAGTCAAAACTAAGTTTATCAATTAGTCTTGTGTTAAGCACAGGAAATTCATTTTATTCTAGTACTCTTCAGAGCTATTAAAAGGTATCAAAATCTGTTTTTACAAGAGAATTTTTTACTCGTAGAAATATCAAATTTAAAGAAATGTTGTTAATTTAAAGAAATGGAAAAAAATGTCTGTGTTAAAGTGAATTCAAAAAGATCTACAAATGTCTTTTTTGTAAAATATAATGTCTTTGGTCTTGAAGCATACTCAATACAAAGTTTATATGCAGTTGTACCAAACTACTGGCGAAATACTTGACACATACAAAGTTAAAATGCAGTTTAACCAGATTATTGGCGAAGAACTTTATACTTGTTGATAATAAAGAGTAGAACATTTGATTTTTTTCAAAAAGAAAATTTGAACTTATTGCAAAAATACCTTACATGTTCCAAAAGAATATATGAACTCAGAAGAGATTTTGTTTTCATATTCTGTTTCGACCTTAATTTTTATTATAAAACTCTTATAAAACATCATCCTTAAACCATTAAACACTTTGTGAAGATTGGGAAAAAATATTTTAATTTTGTTTTTTAAAAGTATTTAATGTGAAATAAAATTACATTATAAAATAAGAAGTATAAAATTATTAAAATTTGTTCTTTTATTTAATATTATTTACTATCAATTGCTGTTAGAGGTTAATTTTCAATTATTATTATTTTTTTTACCAAGTATAGAATACAATAACCAGTTTTTTTAAATAGTTTTTAATGCTTATTGCTAAATGATCCTGTGTTTAAAGCTAAATTGTAAATGTGAAAAGATCTGTAATTGTGTTTCTTGTTAAAAGTAATGTTCCAGTTCTGTGTAGCATACTCAATATAATGTCTGTATGCAGTTGTACCAGACTAGTAGTGAAGTACTTAAAGTATGCATAGTGTAAATTTTATGCTAGAGCAAGAGTTGTTCTAAGCTTGTTGCTGCATCTTTATATCAATTTGTTAATTATAAAGAGTTAAACATTTAAGTTTTTTCAAAAAAAAAAAAATTTAGCTCGATGTTTTACAATAATAATATTTTTCATTACTTAACTCTAATAAAACATCATCATTAAACCTTTAAAAAATTTGTAAAAATTAAAAAAAAAAATTTGACAGGATATTATAACTTCTATATAAATTTTGTATATAAATATTGTATTTGAAAAAAGATGTTTTTTTTTTCTACTGAACAGTTCTTTTGTACAGTTACATATAAGCAATAACATTACAAGCTAGTAAAAAGTAATAAAATTGAAAATTTTAAATAAATGAAGGTGAAGTTTGGCATTAATTGTAATGAAAAAAACTTCATAACGATAAGATTTTAAATTTTACAAAAAAGTTTTCAATAAAAATTTATCAATATTACTTCAAAATAAATCATGGCACATCTCAATTTTTAAAGAGACAATTGTACAAGAGGTATCCGCAGAAATTCAAAAAAAGCACATTTTTATTGGTTATACCAAAAATTGCATAAACTATTCATAAAATTTGGAAATACAGAGTACATTTTATTATTATTATTATTTTTACTTTTTTCTAGACCTGACAGAGTTTTTCTTCAGGAGTATTTGATATAAAATAAATTTATATGATAGCATAAAAGTTTGTTGCTTTATTTTAATTACCATCAGTTGCAATTAGAGGGCAAACATTTTTTTTACCAAATTATAAAATACAATAACCAATATTTTGTTCAGGCTAACAACTATATATCAACAAACATGTGTTTTATAGGTGTTGACTTTTGAAATTGAAATCAACAACAACATGAATTTACATGTTTGCAAATTTTCTTGCTTCTACCTCTTTACTCTTAGTTCTCCATAAAGGTGTGGTACGTTATAAAAAATCTAATCATGAAAAAAAAAACTTCCTCACCCCCCCCCCCCTCATACCATAAAGGTCTCTTAAAGGTACTCTTGGTTCTCCATAAAGGTACGTTAAGAGTTATTTCTGTTCGTAATTTTAATTAATTTACTATATCAAAACAAATCTGTGGACATCAGATCCTGGACATTTTCTTATAGTTTATTATACTACAATTTTTTGTAATCTTTTTTTACAGTACTGAGGGCAATCCAAATCAGCTCTTGTTGACAATTGCTTTTAATTTGAGAGTGTTACAAACTACCTGGGCTAGCTATAACAACTAATAAGCAGTATTATTAAACTTAAAAAGTTTTAGTAATATATATAATTAGGGTAAATTTCTAAGAAACAAATAGATTATTTTTTATAAAAATATTCCTCTAGCTAAATGATAGGATAAATGGGAACATAATGTGAAAAAAATCATGCCGAGTGCATGATTTTTGATATCTGTTTTATAGTTTGTTACAATGGTTTTTTATGTGTTAGAGTTAAAAAACCGTTAGGAAAACAACGTACTTTTTTTAAATCTTTTTTTTTTTTTAAGATAATATTTTGAAAATCACGGATGTTTAGTTAAAATATAAGTACTATAATGTAAAAATTTTAAAGAAAAATCATAACTTTTTTCGTTATTATTTGATTTTTTTATGGGATTATTCACTTTAACTATTCACGCTTTTTGAATTTGTTTTGATTTTAACAAACGCGCACATGCCACATGCTTTCAAAATCAGCCAATCAGATTGCTCTTAATGACTTTTTCAGACTGCCTATTCTGAGCCTGTATAGGGTTTCAAAATAGGGTTGGGATTTTCCCAGCAATTTTAGGGATTTTCTCGGCAACTTGCTTTTAAAATTCATTTCTCAAAGTTTGCAAATAACTCTTTGAAATGCTTTCCAACAATAGCAAATATTATATAATAAGGTTAGCAAGAAATAAAATACAACCTAAAAAAAAAACAAATTTGTTTGGTTTAACATCCGCAAATGCTATTTCTTTAAAAACCTTGACTGAAAATTCAAATAACTGACTTAGTCTTACAGCAAACTCTACTTCAAATAGTACCTGTGCTTCGTCAACAAAGTTTATTCAAAATATCGAGAAACCGCTTACGCCTTATACTTTCGAAATTTTGATCAATGCCTTTTAGTTATTGTTTTTCTTTTTTTGTTTGGTATTTTAAATCAACTAAATTAGGTGATGGCATCTTTAATCTTTACTTACCGGCATCGGCTAAAATCTTTTTTTACTCATTTACTATCATTTCTCGACTAACTTTTTAAAAAACCACCCATGAAATATAAATGCTTTATGATAATAACGAACTGGTCCAAGAAATTTATTTAAGGAGGAAAACAGATTTCTTTACTTTATTGCTTGCTTGTAAACAAAATACGTATAATAAAACGTAAGTTAAAAAATAATAAATAAATAATATATTAGTAGGTAAATTAAATAAAATAATATATAAAAAAAAGTTTTATAACAATAAAGTTTTTTTTTATTAGAACTAACTGTTACTAGAAGTTTAAAAACAAGAAAACTAGATTCGCGCTTGCTTGAATTTAAAAGTTAAATGTTTGAATGAACCATAAGAACATTCTACGAATGAATGAAAAAAGAATTATCGGTTACAACGAAAGCGTGCAGTCGCTTGCAATCAATATTCTTTTGTAATTAAACGACTTTTGTTGTAGTTTTCTTTGACACTTCGTAATTGTAACTTTATTTTGCTATGCTATTTATATATAAGGAAAATTAATATTAATTATAAAATTGAACTCATAGTAAATGTGCAATATGAAATCTATGAGGTCGTGTTAACTGTTTTCAAAACCTTTTCTATTTTCCATTTTTAAAACATTTCTTTTGGGACGTCAAGCAGAATTTTAATAATAATTAGAAGTAGAACATAAATCGCTTTGTTACTTTAAAAAACTCTGCACACCAAAGCCAATAATCTCCAACTTTCAGTTTTGCTTTTAAATAGATAATCAAAATACGTTTGTGTTTGAGAAATGCGTTATTGATTTAGTTGTTTTCTCGATTTGCTCGTGTATCAAAAAAGAAATCCATTTACACCAGTGAAAAATAAATATATATTCCAATAAATACTTTTAAAATGAAAGTGGCAAATATATATTAGATTAAAGATAAATCAAATATATAATTCTTAATAATAACTAATTAATATACACTGAATAAAATAATATAAAAATATACAATTTTTTGTATCGGAGTTTAATTTGCCGTGTTGTTGTGAAGCTTTCCAATGCGCTAAAGTGGAGTAGAAGAGGAAAGAAGATAAGAAAATGACCCCAAGCATTCCGGGAACACTATTAAACCTCGGGGGGTGGGGGGAGGGAGGTGAAGGTGGGGGGGGGGGGATGGGAAATATTTTGACAAATTCCCAATTTCGTCAAAACGCTGTATCAAATTTGTTCCTGGTTAACACCCTGATTGTGTATGTATTCTAGTGTATAGATATTGTATTCTATTAAGAATGCCAACAAAAAATAAAGATAAGGGTTGTCCATAAAGGACGTCACCATTTTTATACCCCCTCCCTCCCCACTGATAGTCTTTTTTCCTTATACCCCCTTGAAAGGACGTCATAAAATTGGGATTACCTTATTTGACATTAAAAATTTTTTTTGATCTTATTCCGTGTTTTATGAACTTTTTGACAACCAGCTTTTTTTTAGTCAGATGAGCATTATTATAAGATTTTAGAAGTGAATTTAAAATTATTTTTATCCATCTTTTGATTTGGGCATTGAAAGCATGACGTGAAAATAAAAATTGCAGCTGGCAATATTGAGGTTTCATAACTACTACCACTCTTTTAAAAGATAAAATAAAAAATATTCTTAAACAATAGCTTCATAAAAGAAATGTTTACAAAGTTTCCCATGTATATAAAGTTAATATAAAAAAATCAGTGCTTGTAAGGGTGAGTGGAAACTCACCCTTACAAGCACTGATTTAACCCTCCGCTAGATGCAGTCTTTTTTCAACTTGAGAAGACATGTTGTATCAAAATGAAACAATACGTCTGAAACTGTTTTAATAAAAAAATAACGATGAAAAAAAATCAAAAATTTAGCTGTAAGCAATTAGAACCATTTAAAAAAGTGTTATATTTATTAAATATATGTTATTTAATTAAAAAAAACTAACATGCAAAGACATAGTTTTAATTTACATAAAATGATAAAAAATACCATTCAAAAAAAGTTATTTAATTGTGCTTTTTGAGGTAGAACTAAAGAGAAAAGAAAAAAACAGGTTACTAAAAAACAGAACACCAAGTCAATACTACAAAACCCAGACACGATAATAATGATTGGCTTGTATCAATTTAAACAACCACGACTGCCGGAGGGTTAAATAACTTTGTCTTGGCTTTTAGCAAATGATTAAAATACTAAGTTTCATTATTAATGAAACTAAATAATAATCATTTTTAACAATAGACACCAAGTGAAAGTAAACCAGAGTAGTCTATCAAAAAAACGCTTGCTTTTGCTAACTAACTTACATGCCACAAATGGAAACCAAGCCATGCTTACAACCTAAAAAAAGTAAAAAGAATATGCGCTAGTGTGATTTGTATCGTTAGCAACACCATTATATTTGCAAGCAATTATGTATACTGAGTATTCACTGATTTAATATAGATATTTAATCTAATTTAAGCTACATCTCATAAATCTAGTAAAGATGTATAAGATTACCCTAAAGGCTTATACCATAAACATTTATGGCTATTTATTATGCCATTATAAGCAAGGTATAATCATCTGTCCAGTAGGAAATACTATAAATTATATCATTTTGTCTTTTACTTGATTTTTCTACTCTGCCATTATACATCACAGATTTGGATGAGTCAACATGGCACCATTCATGGCAGAGAATCCTTTCAATAATTCTGTCAAACATAACATCTTCCAATCTTTTTTTCTAGACAGTTGGTCTAGACTTTCTAAATAATCTACAGTCTTTTACTTTTTACATCTTAATTTGCAAGTAGCAAATTGTGGCATTAGCAAAACTTTTTTCACTATCTGAATACCAAAACATGATTAAAAGTTGCGTCCTCACCTGAAACATAAAACTTTTTCATCCAAGGCCCAGTAATGAGTTTTTACAAACAATGCAAGCATGCACATTTCTTTTATGGCAGCTTTATTACAAAATGCAGCTCTCAGAGTTGCTAGCAAACTTTTACATTTTACTCAACAGTGAGGAAATGTTTAAGCTCACTCTAATGTTTCATAAAAATAAAACAAGTAAGAAATAGAATATGAAGCCAAATACCACGATATAATATCGTGTATATTGGAATAATACTCCGTGGTAGATAGTTTTCATCTAAAAAACTTACAAATCTTTGGATCACCTTTGACGTCTATAAAACTCATTTTGTTCATGGCTAAAATAATTTTAACTGTAATACAATCATTTCCAAATAATTGGCAACTCTCACTCTCAAGAGACTGTAACGCTGAGCAACATGAAACTGCAATTGTGTCAAGAGGGTGCAAATGGCATTTCAGCTCATTCAAATTCTTGCCCCAGAGTGCACAAACTTTGCTTATAGTAAGATGGTTCACTGCAACTTTATCTAACATTGTGTTAGATATGTTTTCAATAATCGAGTTACGACATTCATCAAAGCTACTTTGGTAAAAATCTGAATAAAAAAATGCCATATAATAAATTGAAGTGCATATAGGACCTTCATAATCGTTTGCTGTTCCTCCTGGTAACTGATGTAGAGCATTTATCTTTAGATGTTAAGTTAATGCTATTAATGTGGACACCTTCTTGTGTTGTAGCATCAAATCCAAGAGTAAGATTATTATTATGCATAGCCCACTCTGCTGCTTGCAAATCTGAAATACTGCCAAGATCACGAGCCATTGGGGTAAAGTTTAAAGGTGTCTGGGCATGCCTTTTTTTCAATAAAACTTGGCAGGTAGTAATAAAAAAGGTTTTTAAATCATTCTTTTTAAATCCTCTTTCTGTAATGACGTGCTGTATAAATGTAGATGTGTCTTTTACATGAACCAATGTTCTAGTAATGACTTCTTAACCATCCATAAAATCTACTTCTTTAGAAGTGTAAAATTCATCTATACAGTTATGGAGAGCCTCGATTTTTTCAAAGATGTTCGCTTTAATGCAGGTTTGAGTTCCCATACTAAATCTATATATCGAACAAAAATTCTTTGTTTGATTTTTTGAAAGCTCAAGAGATTCAACCAACTCCATAACAGTACTAAAGGATATCTGTTTCAGCTCAATTCGGTCAGTTTTTTTGTCAGGAGTTCCAACCACAATGTTCAAAGGATACTCTTGAGTAGCCAGTTGAAACTTCTGTCCTCTACAAATATTTTCAGCTTCCATCTTGTGCTTAAGTATACCTGGCAACATACATTAATAAAATGTTTATTATTTAAAATTTTAAAATATTTTATTATTATTATTATTAAATTTCTATATTAAAAGAACAGCTTTTATACAATATACTTGCCTGAGGCTACCCGTTCTGAATATTTAGATCCAAGCTGCTCTGCTGCTACAATGAGATTATTAGCAGCTTTGCTCTCTGTACAGATATGAACTACTCCTTGCACTAAATATTTTTGTTTGAAAACAAATGAACAAAAATTTTAATTAAGTATTTTATTAAGCACAATAATTTTTTTTATGTGAAGCATTATAAATATGAAAAAATAAAACAACAATAATAATAATAAAATTCTAACCTACAAAACCAAAGCATGTTGAACATAGTCTGGAGGACTTGGCACATTCAGAATCATTAGAAGCATTAATTTCATCAACAATGTCGTTGATATTTGATGATCTTCTAAGATGCAATCTTTCAATCTAAATTAATGGAAAAAATATTGGTCAGTAAGTGATATTATTTTAGCATACTAAATAGTATTTTATATTCACACTTTGTACGCTAAAAGTTTAACTATATAGTTAAACTTTAATTAATATACTATATAATTAAATTTTAAGCTTACACTATAAACAGTGAAAAATAGTAAATAAATGAATAGCAAATAGTTTTTTATACAGTACACATGTTTTATATACGTGTTTTGTATAACTTAAATATATATACTACATATATACACATTATACTCAAATACCTCAATGCATGTCATACTAACACTAAGTATATGTATATACATATACTTATAGTGTTGTATATATAATGTAAGAAGTTATATACATTTTAAGTCTACGCACATAACAGAAAAACAGTAAGTTTTTTTTATAACACACATATGATGTTTTTAATAAAAAGATAGTAAATAAAAAAGTATTAACTAGAAAGTAATATTAATTATTATATACAGAAAAACAGATTAACATGAATTTTACCTTGGATATCTTTTCTATCCAGTTGCCTAGGTACTCCACTTTGTTCCTATCGAGATCATAGAGGTTTCTGTGGCAGTTGTTACAAATAACCTTGGGATAGTTGGTTACATCTAAACTATACTGACTCCAGACAAAAGTTTTTATCTTTGTTTCAATTGCTGGAGTAATCTTTTGAACTTTTGATGACTTTTTACCAAACTGTGTAAGACAAACAGCACACGTTTTATGTAAATAGTCCGCCATTTTATACGCAATTTAATAATGTCGCGGACTTTAAACCGAGTTTTCAACAAAGCCTATCCAGTCGGGTATAATTTCATATATTTCGTTGTAATTTTATCGCAAGGCATTCTGGGATGTCCTGCCGAACCTCAGATATTTATAATATTAAGTTGCTAATAGTTCTTTTTATATCTACCTAAAAGAATTTTGATCTTAGTTATAAACAATGCCGTCATTTTGTGCTGCTATAAACTGTGGAAATAAGAGTGGAAAAAGCTGTAAAGATATTTCATTTTTTCGTTTTCCAAAAGACGAAAAAAGGTAAGCTAATTCATATTATATAAAATACCTTTTTCTTTCATAAAAAGTTTATAAAATTATTATTGTAGTATTTTAAAACATATTCATTTATTGTTTAATTTTTAGATGTAAACAGTGGGTCATCAACTGTCGTAGGAAAGATTTAGACAAAAAAGATTTTGTACTTTTAAATAAAAACTTTTATTTGTGCAGTAATCATTTTGAAAATACAATGTACTATTCTACTAATAATAATGGAAAACGTTTGTTACAATCAGCAGTTCCTACTATTTTTAACATTCCAAATCCTCCTCCACTTCTTGGTTGCAAAAGGAAACCACCAGTTGAACATTATTCAGTTCCAACAAAAAAGCAAGTTGTTTGTTTACCTGTTAATTCAGATAATAATTTAGAGAACAAAATGTCTATTAATAAAATAAATTTTAACAAACTTCAGAGGTTACTACTAACATTGCGAGTCAAAAGTTCTAGATTACGTAAACAAGTTCAACATTTAAAATCCAAACAAAAACCCCAAAAAAACTGTGATGGGTCTATTAAACATATTTTAAATTTATCCAGGAAATTCTTAACACCTATACAAGTTAGTTTTTTTAAAAGTCAATTAGAAATGAGTAAACGAGTCAATAAAGGAAAACGCTGGGCAGTTTCTGACAAAGTTTTGGCTTTGCGAATTCTGTTCTATAGTCCTCAAACTTTTAATGTTTTGCAAACAATATTTTGTTTACCGAGTCAAACCTGTTTATTATTATTTTTGTCCCGTGTATTTTCAGATCTTCAAGAAGGGTTTTCTACTTGATTGTTTTCTTTATTAAAGTTACGTGCTGATGCAATGAATCGGCTTGATTGTAATGTCAGTCTTGTTATGGATGAGATGTCATTAAAGCAGCATTTAGAGTATGATAGAAATTCTGACAGAGTTTACGGTATAAAAAATGAAAAACTTTTAAATTAGGCTCTTGTAATTATGGTTAGGGGCTTGGCAAATAAATGGAAACAACCAATAGCTTATTTTTATAATAATTCTACAGTATCAACAGCTGACTTGGCTTCTTTACTACGGAAAACAATTTCTAGACAATTTCTAAGGTTCAAGAAACTGGTTTAAACATTAGATGTGTAGTTTGTGATCAAGGATCTACTAATATAGCTGCCTTACGTTTGCTTGGGTTTTCCAAAAATTTACCATACTTTCCTAATCCCTCCAATAATAAAAATATTCATGTTATTTTTCATCCTCCACATTTAGTAAAAAGTATCAGAAACAATTTACGAAGACATAACATTGACATTAATGGTGAAATTGTTTCTTGGCAACACATCCAGTCTCTGTACAATTTAGACAAAATAAACTCTGTGCGTCTGGCTTCAAAACTAACAGATAGACACTTGGACCCTGGTCCACTTTTATCTATGAAGGTCAAACTTGCTACTCAAGTTTTTAGTTATCAGGTTGCTTCTGCATTATATTGCTGCTCAAATACAAATTTACTTCCTTTGAGTGTATTACCAACAGCAAGATTTGTTGAACGCATGGATACTTTATTCGATATATTGAATTCAAATAAATTATATGCAGATAAACTAGCTCGTTGTGCTCTTACTTTACAAGGAGCCAGTATTTCTCAGTTGGAAGAGTTAAAGTATTGGATTGAGAAATGGAAATTTTGTAATGTTAGAAATCAAACAAGTATATCATGTCAGTAGGGTTTAATTGTCACAATTAATAGTGTTCTAACCTTAACTAGAGAACTATTTTCTGAAGGTTTTCAGTTTGTTTGTACTTCTCGTTTTAATCAGGACTGCATTGAGAACTTTTTTTCCATTATTCGAAGCAAAGGTGGTTGGAATGATCGTCCAAATGTTAGACAATTTCGAGCTGCCTAAAGAAACGCTTTATTACTTTTATCTGTAGAAAAAAGCAAATCCAATAGCAACTGTATAAAGGACTCCAATTTTGAAACAGCTTTCAATCTAAATGATTTTATGAAGTGTTGTAATCAAACAACCACTAATTGTGGAATTGATGAAATAGAAAATAACATACCTAAAGGAATATCTTATTTTCGTCCAGGATCATTTTTTATGTTTACTGGAAAAATTTTAATGCAACCAAAAGACCAATCCCTTTTACACATGGCTGGGTGGATTATTCAAAAAGTTAAGTTACGTCATGGGTGTGCAGATGTACTCTTTATTAGTTCAGTTGACAATCCATCAGCTTTTATGTCACTAGTTCGTGAAATGGAAACAACTTTTATGAAATTTATTAATAAACATCTTGAAAGAAATGGACGAGCCATGATGCTCATCAATAAAATTAAAAAAAAATGTCATTTTCAGTTTTTGCACAATCAACATGAAGAACATGCGCTTTATTTGGAAAATAACATTGCTCAGTTTTTTGTTATTACAAGAATTTTTTATTTCATAAAATTTTTAAACAGAGACATAAACCCACGCAGTAAGTCAAATGCAAAAAAAATTGCACGTATTCTTCATAATTAATATATTATAATACTCTTTTTTCAACTTTTTTTTTATTTGTCATAAGATGTAATCATAAGATAACTTTTTAAAAAAATAATATTTTTTGTTATTACAAGAATTTTTTATTTCATAAAATTTTTAAAAAGGAACATAAACCCACCTAATAAGCCAAATTGTAAATTCAAAAATATTCAAAAATAGTACGTATTTTTCAATTTATTTCTTTGTAATAAGATATACTACTTTTATGTTCTAAAAAAATTACACTACTTTTAACTAATGTTCTACAAAACTTTTTTTTCCCCATTATTTCATTCTTATTGAAACATTTTAATGTTAATCTTAACAAAATTGATGTATCTCAATGTTACAAAATTGAGATATTTATCTTAAATACAAAATTGAGATATTTAGCATCAAAGTTTATTTAAAAAAACTATTTGTTAGTTGCGGAAAAGGTCCGGCAGTACATCCCAGAATGCAATTTCGATCAATTAACAGGAGTTTCGCGAAGTAGATAGACTTTGGTTTTCAACTAATTTATTAAGATTTTTATGCCTAAAAATTTTTGAGTAAAAAAAAAATTTTGAGCAAATTTTTTTTTACTTAGTCCAATCACTCAGAAGTTTTTAATGGCATAAATAATGCCAACTAATGTATAACCAACTATTGAAAAAAAAAAAAAAATCAGACCTGGGGAACGACTTAACCTGGTGGTCACTCTGGTCCACAGTGCACGACTTATTTATTTGTATTTTTCGATAGATGATAGAATCAAAAACCTATTCCGACGTTTGAAGTTTTGTGTAAATTGATGACCCGTAAATAACTTATCTTTTTTAAAATTGTTATAAATTTGCGCAATTTAAAAAACAACTTATGTAAAATTTATAACAATTTATAGAAACAGAACATTTACAACAAATATTTATAAAAAACATTTATAAAAACAAACATTTTTAGCAGTTTATAAACATATACAACAAACATTTTATTTATAACAAATATTTTATTTATAACAAACATTTTATTTATAAAAAACATTTATAACAAAACATTTATAAAAAAAATTTATAAAAACAAATTTATAAAAACAAACAAATTAATAACAATTTATAGAAACAACTAGTTATTATCGGGTCATCAATTTACACAAAACTTCAAACTTCGGAATAGGTTTTTGATTCTATCTTCTACCGTATTTTTCAATAGTTCGGACGACCTTGAAATTGACGCCATTTATCATCGAAATGTCGATGATAAATGATCGATCGAGATGATATGTAAACATTAGTTGATTGGGATCTTATAATGCAATCGAATGATGTAAATAATGCCTATGATTTATTTCTTAAGTTTTTTTGTGAGCAATATGAAAAAGCATTTCCTGAGAAAAAAATTGTTATAAATACCAAGTCACTTCAAGTTCCTTGGATGTCTAAAGGTTTATTAAAATCCTCGAAAAAAAAAAAAAAGTTGTATGAAAAATTCTTAAAAAATAAAAATGAAAAAAACTACAAACTTTATAAAAATATATTTGAAAAAACTAAACAACAATCAAAAAAAATTTACTATTCAAAGTTGTTAGAAAAAACTAACGGAAATACCAAAAAGACATGGAGCGTTATTAAAGAAATTATTGGCAAAAAAAAACAATAGATTAAGTATTCAGCCAAAAAAACTCTTAGCAGACGGTAAAATAATATATGACAAATCAATAATAGCTGAAAATCTAAACAGCTTCTTTCTTAATATTGGTGCAAACTTAGCTGAAAAAATTCCATCAAGTTCTTCATCGTATAATTCTTATTTAAAATTGTATGATAAGGTCATGGACGAATCTAAGCTAGATATTGATGAGTTGCGATCTGCTCTAGATAGTCTTAAAAACAACACAAGTGCAGGTTTTGATAATATTAGCATAAATGTTGTAAAATCAGTTTTTCATATTATAGAAACCTCCTTACATCACATCTTTAATCTTTCTCTTCAATCCGGTACAGTTCCTGAAAATTTAAAAATTGCACGAGTCTTGCCTATTTTTAAGTCTGGTGATAACACAGATTCTTCAAATTACAGACCAATATCAGTCTTACCATGCTTCTCTAAGTTACTCAAACGTATAATGTATAATAGACTGAACAGGTACTTAACAGATAATAACATGTTGTACAGCAAGCCAATAGGCTTTAAAAAAAATCATTCAACTGATCACGCTTTGACCGAGTTAGTAACTCATGTAACCAACGGCTTTAATAATTACTGGTTTACATTAGGAGTCTTCATTGATCTGTCTAAAGCCTTTGACACAGTCAATCATGTCATTCTTTTAAAAAAAAACTTGAACATTATGGAATAAAAAACAATAATTTGCTATGGTTTAAAGAATACTTATCAAACAGACAGCAATACATTCAATATGAAAATGTTAAAACAACAAAAAGTATAATAACATGTGGAGTTCCCCAAGGCTTAATCTTAGGACCGTTATTGTTTTCTCTTTATATAAATGATCTATCTCATACTTCAAACTTATTAAACTTTATATTGTTTGCAGATGACTCCAATCTGTTTTATTCTCATTGGGATATTAAAACCCTCTTTAAAGTAGTTAATGAAGAAGTAAAAAAAGTAAACGAATGGTTTTTCTGTAATAGACTCTCACTTAACGTTAACAAAACTAAATTTATTTTATTCCACAAACCAACCAAAACGGGAAATCTTCCTTTAAAATTACCAAATCTTAAAATTAATGATATAAATATTACTAGACAAACATCTGAAACTTTTTTGGTGTTATTTTAGACGAAAATTTATCATGGAAGAGTCATATAAGCACTTTTGAAAGAAAACTTTCAATAAATATTGCAATGTTTAAAGTAATACCATTTTTAGATATTAGGTCTATAAAAAGTTTATATTTTTCCTTTATACATAGTTATTTAACTTATGGCAATATTGTATGGGCAAGCACCAACTACGCCAAGTTAAAAAAAATTTATTCTAAACAAAAACATGCTTGTAGAACCGTTTTTGGAACAACAAAAACTGTGTCTTGTGAGCCACTCTTACAAAAACTTAATGCATTAAATGTGTTCAAAATCAACATATTCTTAGTTATACAATTCATGTATAAAATAAAGCATGGACTATCTTTAACGATATTTTATCCTTATTTTAGAGAAGTAAACCATAAATACCCCACCAAGTATTCAGAAAATAATTTTGTAACTCAAAAATATAATCTAAAGTTATGTTCTTATTCTATTCAGTATCGGGGACCTATTTTATGGAAAAATTTTCAGCATATTGTTAGTATTAAAGAAAACACATTTCCGCAATTCAAATCTAAATTAAGACGTTATTTAGTACTTATGGTATTTAATATAGTAGAGTTTGTCTGTTACTTTTAGAAAATATTAAACTAAATTAGTTCCATAAATTAAAAAACCTAAATCGTTTAACAAAAAGAATGAAACCAATTAACATTAAGAACTTCAATGTCTTTATCACACTTTCATTGAAAATATTTACTCTTGAAGTTACCTACAAAATTATTACTATTTAGAGTCATTGAATTCAAATATGCAGGATATTTTTATAAATAATCTTATATTTACGGGTAAATTATCTTATATTTTTCAATATACTTTATGATATTGCAATAGAAATTTTATTTATATTTTTTAGTTCGAATTACGTTCTGTTTATAACCTAAAACGGAAAATTTGTCTTTTCTTTTTTTTCCAATATTTTAGTTATTTCTTTCCTTTACCTTTTACTTTTTTTTTTGTTTTTGTCTTTTGTTTTTTTAATATTTTTTTTAAATTACTTTATTACTTTTTGTTTCTTTACATTTTTAAACTGCCTTTCTTTTATATGCTGTTGCTTATATAATACGGATGTTTAGAAGCGTTACTATTGGGGCACGGTGATAAGGCGAATTTATGCCTTCTTCTTGCTCCGGCCAATTGTATACTATTTTATATTTTTGTACTTTGTAAACATTTTTAAACGGCGAAATAAACAAACAAACAAATTAGTTAATGCCATCCATGTGACATTTTAACATTATGATTTTTGGCGTCTTATTTTCTTGTTCTAACCACTGAGCACAGTGCTTAGTAATGTTCTTTGATGTTAAGTAATGTATTAAAAATAACATCTATCGAATACTAAATACTAGCAGTAAGCAACCCGTAATTCGGGTTAGTAGTAAATAAATCATTGCTAACAATTTGATTTTTATTTATTTTCTCTAATGGAATATAAATTTATTTATACATTTTTTTAGTTGTGCTCACTTTTATTTTTCTTGGCTTCTTAGTTTAACAGAACTCTTAGATTCATTAAAGATAAAGTTAACCGTTTCTTTTGCAATGTTTAAATATTGAATGCGTAAATTATATGCATAGATCATCTGTCATATTATCAATTTCTGTAAAATTGCTTAGGTAAAATATTCGGAATATATCATCCTCTTAATTTTGCTTTTAGCTGAGTCGTTTTTACTTCCTTTTTCAAACTTTTCATTTTACTGAGTAAAAAGTTAAAAAATATATCACTAAAATTACACCTAAACTCGTAGGCATAGCAATTGTTTTGAATATCCAGAAAAACTATAAGTCGAAAAATATATACGCAATTCCGGAAAAAGCTTTTCCCTGTGTACGGCTCCTATAATATATAATAATGCTTAATACTTAAGCAATCTTTTTTTAATTTTAGGTGCCCCAAGAAGACCTTACGGTCTTGTCACAGAGCACCGCGGAAGTGCGTTTAACCAGGAAGTTCACGCCTCTTTCCTTACCGTGATGCGAAATATATATCCAGAGCTCGTTTCGAACCTGGATCTCCTGCTTTAAAAGCAAGCGCTCTAACCACTGCGCCACGGCGGCACATTTATTTAATAATCCAGCAGAAACTTGTTGGAAGAAAAAAAAAAAAAAGAAGATAAAGGAATATATCGATTTACTTTATAGCTAACGTATATCAACATACTTATTTCAGCGTTCATCCAAT